GATGAATATCATCATTTCCGGAGGAAGAAGTCCTTCTATGAAAAATTGAAGTACAGTGCTCATAGCGACGGATGTAGAGAATTCTACCAAGATGGAGAAGCCTATGATAATGTAGCAGATGCATATGAAATGTATGTGAAGGGAACTCAATTAGCAGCAAATGGAGATGTCATAGACAAGAAATATATCTATGGCAATGTTGGTTTCAATTGGACAGTCTATCATCCAGAATGGAAGCCAACAAAGAAGCGACCAAAAGCTCCATACTATGAAGAAAGAACCAGGAAATGGAGAGCAATGTTTGTAGACTTTCCTGAAGAAGATGAAATATCCCAAGGCGCACTCAAGGTTTATAATGAGAAGCATCCCAAGAAGGAAGTTTATCAATTGGAAATTCCATACGTTCTGCACAAACAGAAGCGACAAGTGCAATGCGAGGTTTATGAAACGCATTGTATCATTGATCAAGAAGAAGTTACATGGGAAGAAGTCCGTAAAATGCAAGCCAAGCTCACCAAAAGACCAACTCATCACTCTCAACCTTACCATTATAAAGGACCAGGAACTCAATGTTGGCATTCGATCCACCAAGAAAAGCCAACCGATTACTGTGATGAATGTGTTTGGATGGTCCAGACTTGCAGAGTCCTAGCAGCTTTACCTGAAGAAAAGCTAACACAGTTGGAAACAGAAGCTAAGATCCGAGCTAGAGTCAGACTCTCACCATTGGAAAATATTACAGCACCTTTCCCAACCAACTGGCAGCAATTAGGGGCCATTTCTTTTCAACTATGGACTCCAGGCGCCAGACCTCCTACTTTGTCACATGGAGGATATGTGTTGTATTCCAATCAGGACGCCCAAGTCCAAGGATCAAGAACTCTAACTACAGGCATTGGACTCAAGTTACCTCCCAACACAACGGCACTATTAATCGCCTTAGAAGAACCGACCAATTACGTAGTCACTAACCTGATTACAGACACCGAGTTCCGAGTATCAGTGCACGTAATTGCGCCATTCCCAACCTTGATCAATGCAAAACAAGCGATAGCAAGAATCGTCCTAGTGCGAACTATAAATCCGGCTTCGGAATTAGTCGCAGCAGGACAGAAAGTGCAAGAACAACCCTCTCCATTCCTAAAAACACTCAATCCCGACCAAGATCAGCAAATCGAAGACTTATTGAAACAGTACGAAGACATATTTGCTGCAGACCTGAAGAGTTTAGGCCAAACTACCATCATCCGTCACCGAATAGACACAGAAGAAGGAAAAGTTGCTTTTTCGAAAAAGTACAAACAATCATGGGAAAGCGAAGATTTTATCACTGCAGAAGTAGGAAGAATGTTGGAAGCCAACATAATCAAGCGGTTAGAAATTGATACTGACGAAAATACGCCATGTACGCCATTTGCATCTCCGGTAGTGGTTGTAGGAAAGAAGGATGGAAGCAAACGATTCTGTGTGGATTACAGAAAGCTCAACAAAATTACAGTAACAAACTCCTATCCGCTACCCATTATTCATGACATCTTTTCTAATATTGCTAAGCGAGGACTACAGCCTAAGTATTTCTCAGCTCTAGACTTAGCAAGCGGGTATTGGCAAGTTCCGATGTACGAAGAACATATCCACAAAACGACATTTACGTGCCATCTTGGACTCTTTTCATTTCT